TAAGTTTTTAAAGTTTTATTTTAGTTTTGTTATAACCTCTCACATTCTTGTGATGTTATGTTTATAACCTCTTACACATTGTAATGTTATGTTAATAATCTCTTACATGTTTGTAATTTAGCTAATTGTTCTTGAAGTTTTGAGCTTGTATTTGTATAATAAAATTTATAACTTTTTGTTAAAAATTATATATATATATATATGTATTATTAATTCACTTTGTTGAGAATGTTTTCTCAATAATTAGATAAATTAATTTACTGATTCAGTAATTGGATCTTTCATATAAATTTTATTAAAAATTTCTGCTAATTGATCTTTTATTTCTTTTAGTTATTTTTTAGTAATATTCACTTTTAACTCAATTTTTTCTTATAATTCTCAAAATATGTGATTTATTTCAATATCAGTTGATTGTGTGGATCCAGTTTGAAAAATTAAGAAAATATAGTTAATAGTTTTATTTATTCATAGAGAATTCTTTTAGTAAATATTTAATCAAAAATTCTTTTATGTCACTTAAATATTTTACTTAATATTTTTTAAATATAATTTACAAAGAATTCTTTTACTAATAATTGTCCTTTTATAATAGAATTTTATAATGTTCTGAAAGTTTCAATTCACAAAAAGAATTTAATAATTGTTATAATAATGCTTTTGAGATTTTGATTTACAAAAATAACATCAAATATTTGTTACCATTTTAATTAATTTTTAAAATATTCAAAGATATTTATAAAAATTAAAGAAATATTCAAAAAGAACTTTTAATATCTTAATAATAATTTAAAGTATTAATAATACTTTATAACTATTAGACTGAATGTAAATAAGTATTAAAAATACTAGTAATAAAATCACTTAAAGGTTAATAATAATTGTATTTTTTTAATGCAATAATCTGAACTCCTAAAAAGAGTTCTCAAAATCTTGAAGTCAAAGATATAAAGATTATAATATTTATATTATCAGCAATACAAAATCAAAGATGAATAATATATTATCAGCAATACAATATCAAAGATGAATTTATAAGTAATGTATTATTAGTAATACAATTTCAAAGATATATTTATGAATTATAATAATAATTCCTTCATTTATATAATGTTTATTAAGTTTCATCACAAACATATTCAGATAATCTAGTATTAAAATGATAACTTTTATAATACTTCTGGCAATCTTGCTTAAGTTACTATAATATTAATTCAAAATCTGTATAACACTTATAGCAAAGATGTTGAAATAATTATATAAGAAACAAGAATACTTTGTTAACAAGAATACTTTGTTAATGAGATATAGAAAGAAATTTGCACTTAATTATCTACTTTATAATAAATGCAAACTTTGCTCATATGAATAATCAAAACTATGTGATAACTAGTTATAAAGTAATAATTAAAAATATTATTATCAAAGAACTTGTTCTAATATAATTTTAATAACTATGATGTATGTTGTTTTTATATAAATTCAAACTATAATTCATCAACTATACAAATTTATGTTTACTAGTTTATTGATCCAATATTTACTTATTTGTTCACTTATTTACTTGTTTGTTTATTTGTTTGTTATTCATTCGCTTGTTCATTTGCTCATTTCATATAACTAAATTTTTCTAATAAGATATAAGATATTTATAATCCAATAATATTAAGTGTAAATAATCCAATAAAATATTTGATCAAAGTTTGTTATACAACAATATAAATTTCAAAGATTTTTAATTGGCTAAGATATATTTACTCAGAATAAATAAATAGAAAAATAAAAAAGTATAAAAATATAAAAATATAGAAATATAAAAGTATAAAAATATAGTAATACAAAATAAAATAAATAAATATAATAATTATTAGTAAGATAAAAATAGGTATTATGATGAGATTAAAAGTAATAATTAAAAATTTTCCAAAAAATTCAGTTACTTACAAAATTTATTGAACTAATATAATCTTTAATTTACTTTAAATAACAAAAAAAAGAACACACTATTCTATTTAAATACTTGTTATTTTATAGTTTGTTATAGTTTATTGAAAATATTTTATAATCTATAATGCATAATATTTAAGTCATTAAATATTTATATTTTATAAAATATATAAATTTCTTTACTAAGAAGTAAATACAAATTTTAAATAGATTCTTTTTATGAATTAAAATTTGTATTTATCTTTTAGTAAAAAAGTTTATATATTTTATAAAATATAAATGTTTGATAATTTTAAATATTATATATCATAGGAATCAGAATTGAGCAATTTTATATCATTTAATGAGATGAATTAAATAATATAAAAATTGTTCAATTTTGATCACTAGTTTATAAGATATTTCAATTCATTACTCTTTATAATATTTATATCTATCTTATATAACATAATTGTAAAACATTCCAAGTTTTTTGTATAAATTTGTAAAACATTACAAATTATAGAATTAACAATTTTTATAATTTAATTGTAATAGTATAATATATAATTAAAGCTAATATTAAAAATTTTTTTTAATTTTGGTAAAAATAGATTAGATATAAATTTATAGAATTTTAGCAAGCAAAATTGCCTGCTAAATCTAATGGTTTAAAGGATAAAAATATAATTATATTCACTATTGCTTATTGTTTTACAATGTTTGGATTGAAATAAAGTGATGCTTCTTCACGGCAATTTACGATAAATACATAAAAGCAATCCTTTTTGAGTTTTTGATTTTGTGAATTCCAATCTAAACAAGATTTTTTCATTTTACCATTATAATTTCTTGGAAAAGTCAAATTGGATAATGAGCACCACTAAATTTAAATTACAAAAATATATCCAAAATCGCTTTAAATTGTAAGGAAACGAGTACCACCCCGTTTTTTAGAACCCAAAAAGTGGTGCCTATTCACAGCAGTTTACGGTAATCATCTTCACTTCAATTATATATTATCATTAGACAGATTAGAATTCAAAGGTAAAACAATAAACTATGATAAATACACATTATTATTACCCAATAACATCAAAGGAAACTAGGGATAATATTCTTTGTATTTCCGGGCAAAAAATTATCCAGTGATTGAGAAAAACAAATTAAGATTCTAATGCATACCAGAATTAAGTAATTACGTAAAAATATACGGGATTGTTCATGGTGTTGATGATATAAACTGTACATTTTTTAAGCGAATATCTTTGATTTTCAAATAATATGCTGTATATTTCTTCGCTTCAAAACAGCGTAATGTTGATCAGTCATACACTCGCAGTTTCTCAAGTCGAATACTTCCAAAGGAGCTTTGCAATTCTCTAAAAATCGTTCAAGAGACTTTTCGGTAAACTGCCAACCTGCGTTATGCCCATCCTTATTTATGTCTTTGATTGCAAGCCGTCGTAATCGCCTTGGAACATATTTACCTAACTGCGGCAACGTTTCATTCGCGTCAAATTCTTCGCCGCTAAATAAAAACGTTTTTAGTAACATACACGAGTCAAGTATTTTAAACACTTCGGACGCCCAAAGAACCGGTAAGTGAAGATAGGTGACGTTTTTACAATTTTCGGCAATGTATTCTATTATTTGCGCGCCGTCGTTTTGATCGGCTCGGATCCACCATAACGATAAACGACGTAGTGTTTTCGTGGTATTTTGAAGCATTGTCGCCCAGAAATTGTTTGGCGGGAGCGCGAAAAACGGATTCCATTCATTGCAATAGTCGAACTCTTCGAGTCGTGAGAACTTTGTCAAGTGCATGAGTTTCTCATTTGGAGGAATTGAGCAGTTGTGTAGTTTCAAGGATATAAGATTCTCACATTGAGATAGTGTCTCTAGACTATCACAATCGCTCTCTGATTTGATGTCAGTATAGCGCAGCTCAAGTGATTCCAAAGAATGTCGTTGATATTCCAAAGCGTTCAGAATATTTGCCAAGAATCCTTGATATCCGTAAAGACAAAGACTTTTTAGTCGCGTTTGCGCTTTAATCAAAGATGCTAAGCTAAGAGTATCCGCCTCGTAATTTGGTGTCCAAATACTATAACTTGTTCCACTGACACTGATTCTATGAATATCTTTGCACACTTGAGACAGCGCAATAAATAATTCTGCTTTCTCGTCACCCTGACAAGTAAATTCACGTAGTTTTGACAAATAATTTCCTGTATTCGGAAAAGATGGGAGAAATGGATAATCGACTTGATCAACTCGTGTAGCAAGACACAAACTGAAAAATGTAGCACATTTACTCATAAAGAGTTTACATAGTTCATTCGCAACTAATTTGGACTTTCTTTCTGTTTCTTCCTCGGTCTCTTCTTCCGATTCGCTTCGATATGACGATGACATATCTTCGTAATATTGTAGTTCAGAAGCAGACGATGATAATGATGATGATAGTGATGATGATGATGACAATGACGATGATAATGACGACGACGACGACGACGACGACGATGATGGCGATGGTGATGATGGTGATGATATTTGCTCATATTTCAGAATTTGATCCTCCTCTTCGACATTTAAAACTCGCCAGAACCAACAAGAAGATAGCCACTGACTAATCGACCAATACATTTGATCATAATCGAGGTCGCGAAGGAACGATGCATAGTCAAAAGCAAGAGGTGTAGACGGTGTTCGAAAATTTATCCCATTCTTTATTAAAGCTCTCTTTGCTTCTTCTGGTAAGCATGAAACATAAATTTGTATCAATTTTGAAGCAGAGTCTTGGTTTCTCGAATGTTCAGGAATCCAAGGACGTCGCCACAAAAGTGCTACACTGTTTTGACACCAGAAACGGTTGACCAGTAAACAAGAAAATAAATCGGCGGTATCTTCGTATAGAAACAAAAAAATATTTTGTATGCACTCTGCTGAAAGTGACATTACCAATAGTATGTATCGGTCTATAAAATATAACCACCCAGTCAGTATTAAATAAGACGTGCTCTCTCTCTCTCTATGTATGTATATATATGTGTGTATATTGTATATTTGATACGGTCTAGAATAAAATTATTCAAAACCCAAAATATAAATATTATACGAGTTAATGAAATTCTGATGTCGGAGCACAATTTTTCCCAAACGAAAAATGGTTCTTTTTGTCAAAGTCTAAAATCTAAAATCTAATTTCAACAAATTTTGTATATAATAATAAGCATCTCTAGAAAGACAATCCACATATATTAGGACTAGATTGATTAGATTTAATAAAAAAAACTCGAATTAATATCGATATCGATAATTGGATGCTTATCAAATTCACCAGTTCTAAAATTTTGATTATTTTTTTCTGAACTATCAAATCGGACGAAGTTGCGTCTCCCCACTCTTCAAAGAAACTCGACATGAACGTTGCTCGAGGTTTTGGAAGTTTGACGCGAAGAGTATTACTAGGTAGCTTTAAAAACTACAACACCACCAAAAACAACGCTAGCTACCTTACGAAGTCGAGTACTCCTATATTATTTAACAAGCACCATCGTCGTAATTATGCCTCGCCTGCTTCTACTAATGTTGGAAGCATTCAAGCTGTGATTGGAGCTGTAGTGGTAAGTGGTCTATTTTAACCACTAAATTAAATAAATACATATTTTTATTAAAAAGCTTTTTATACCAATAGGTATGAGTTATTTTATTGGGTCTCAAAGAGTTGCCGATATTTTTTCCGAATAGCTGTACCTATTTTCCATGAAATTTTTTGATATTAGGATGTTCAATTTGAAGATCAGCTGCCTCAAATTTTGAATTCATTAGAAGTTGAAAAAGAAGGTTCTAGGCTTGTTTTAGAGGTGGCACAACATTGTACGAGTATTCAAAGCTATGATAAATCATTGTTGACTCAAAAAAAATGAAATTACTAAATAAATAAATATTATTATTATAAAGTGGGTCAAAATGTCGTTAGAACCATAGCAATGGATGGTTAGTCGGTTGGATTTCCTATACATCTTTATTGAAGCTATATAATAAAGATTATGAGCTCTCACTTCTTATTTGATCGATATATAACAAATAAAAGGTACGGAAGGACTTATCCGAGGACAAAAAGTAATTGACACTGGCAGTCCGATTCAAATCCCGGTAGGCTCCGAATGTCTAGGTCGTATTCTTAATGTAATTGGCGAACCGATCGATGATCGAGGACCAATCAATACAAAAAAGAAAGCACCAATTCATGCCGAAGCACCGCTATACGTCGACCAATCGACAACACCCGAAGTTCTCGAGACCGGTATAAAAGTTGTCGATTTATTGGCTCCGTACGCTCGTGGCGGGAAAATCGGGCTTTTTGGCGGGGCGGGAGTAGGAAAAACCGTATTAATTCAGGAACTTATTAACAATATTGCTAAAGCCCATGGTGGATATTCGGTTTTTACGGGTGTGGGTGAAAGAACTCGTGAAGGAAATGATCTATATCATGAAATGATACAAACCGGTGTTATAAAACTTGACGGGGAATCGAAAGCCGCACTTGTGTTTGGACAAATGAATGAACCGCCAGGAGCTCGTGCACGTGTTGCTTTGACTGGTTTGACTATTGCGGAATATTTCCGTGACGATGAAGGTCAGGATGTGTTATTGTTTATTGATAATATCTTCCGTTTCACACAAGCCGGTTCCGAAGTGTCTGCGTTATTGGGTCGTATTCCATCAGCTGTGGGTTATCAACCAACGTATGTTTTCATTTTCATTTTTAGTAATTATCTCATTATACTAAATATAATCATTGTTAGTAACGATCTCATTGTACTAAATATAATTATTGCGTTTATTAATTATTGCTTTGATAAAGTTTGGCCACTGATATGGGTTCTATGCAAGAACGTATTACCACTACAAAAAAAGGTTCCATCACATCTGTTCAGGCCGTATATGTACCAGCTGATGATTTGACTGATCCAGCTCCGAGTACTACTTTCGCACATTTGGATGCAACGGTAAACAAAAAAAATAGTCATTAATTCATCATCCCTTTTTATTTAATTTTATTTTATTTTATTTTATTTTATTTAATTTATTTTATTTTATTTAATTTTATTTAATTTAATTTAATTTAATTTAATTTAATATATATTTTACCTTTTATAATAGACTGTGCTTTCTCGACCAATCGCTGAATTAGGTATTTACCCTGCCGTAGATCCCCTCGATTCCAAATCGCGTCTACTGGATCCTCGTATAGTCGGCGAAGAACATTATGCAGTCGCCACCAGCGTACAAAAAATCCTTCAAGATTACAAATCGCTCCAAGACATCATCGCCATTCTGGGTATGGACGAATTGTCGGAACAGGATAAACAGACCGTGGAACGAGCACGAAAAATTCAAAGATTCTTGAGTCAGCCGTTTGCTGTCGCGCAAGTGTTCACCGGGTTTGAAGGGCGTTTGGTAAGTTTGAAGGATACAATTCGTTCTTTCAAAGAGATATTGGATGGAAAGTGCGATGATTTGCCAGAAGCCGCTTTCTATATGGTTGGTGATGTCGATGATGTTAAGAAGAAGGCCGAAGGTATTTGTTTTTGTTAAGTTTTGGTTTAATGTAATAATTAAAAATATTGATAATTTTTTATTTTACTTTCTCTTCTTTTAGATATCGCCAAAGAAATGAGTTCAACTTAAAACGACTTCACTTGATTAATTTTTTGTAGTAAATTTTGTTAGCTTAAATTAATAATTATTGTCTCACGGCGAGAAAAAATAAATTTGTTCCAATTCTTCTTCATATTGATATGATTAAAATTAAATCGAATCATGAATAACAAACACCTGATTTAAATTTCGAAGATCAAAAAAATCTTTGATTTACCCTTTCGACATGAAATCTGCATTAACTTGGAAAATCATTGCGAAATGCTCACGAACAAAAGCCAGAGTTGCAACGCTTACACTTCCTCATTGTCCACTCGAAACGCCTGTATTTATGCCAGTTGCAACTCAAGGAACTCTGAAAGGGGTAACCACGAAACAACTCGAAGAGATGAGCTGTGACATAATACTCAATAACACATATCACTTGGTACTATTAAAAGTCAGACTTTTTTTTGAAAAGCTAAAATAATTTGAGATGCTATCAATTTTTTGTTTTTAATTTCTTTAATTTTTATTTAAGGAAATTAATGAATATTAATTAATGATAAATGCAAACTCTAAATAATATGGATACAATACTACTCTCTTCAGGGTTTACGCCCTGGTCAAGAGTTATTTGATGATGTTGGAGGATCGCATATATTTCAGAATTGGAAAAGGAATATTTTGACTGTAGGTTATCTTTGCTGAGATATTCATAAATATAATAACGTAAAAAGATTCATCGCTTAATTACTTACTATTGGATGTCATGATTATTATGATCAGGATAGCGGAGGATTTCAAATGGTTTCCCTATTAAAACTCGCCGAAATCACCGAAGAAGGTGTACAATTCCAATCGCCGCATGACGGATCTCTAATGCTACTAACACCCGAACATTCAATGTCGCTACAAAATTCTATCGGTGCGGATATTATCATGCAACTGGATGATGTGGTTGCCTCATTGACTACAGGCAAACGTGTCGAAGAGGCTATGTATCGATCAATACGGTGGCTTGATCGATGTATTAAGGCTCACAAAAATCCAGAGACGCAAAATTTGTTTGCAATTACACAAGGAGGTTTAAATTCGGAATTGAGAAAAATTTGTATTCAAGGTACATATTAATTGATATGAAAATATTGGTTCAGTGATTCATTATTTATTATACTATGATGGCAAAGAAATGATAAAGCGAGATACGCCGGGATATGCAATCGGAGGACTAAGTGGAGGTGAAGAAAAAGATATATTTTGGCGAATGTGAGTGAGTCATGAAATTTTTTTCATCCATGCTTATTATTTAATTATAATAATTGTTTTTATTATGACAGAGTTACCCTTTCTACTGATCTATTGCCAAAAAACAAACCATTATATTGTATGGGTGTTGGATATGCTGAAGATCTCGTAGTTTGTGTAGCTTTAGGTATTGACATGTTTGATTGTGTCTTTCCTACTCGCACTGCAGTAAGTCTAATAAAAGCCCAAGATAATCATTGAATCTTTATATCCTTACCTCTTTATTTATCGAGAACTTAAATAATGTTTGACGTTACACGAAACAGCGATTCGGCAACGCTATAACAGCAAAGGGAACACTAAATCTAAAATTAAGTAAATTTGCTCACGACTTTTCCCCAATCGAAGAAACCTGCGACTGCATAACATGTAAGTCATTTACACGTGCCTACGTTCATATACTCGCCACTCGAGAAACAGCTGGTTGCCATCTACTCACACTTCATAATCTGTCGTATCAACTACGACTAATGCGAAGTATTCGTGAATCGATTATCGCGGATCGGTATCCAGAATTTATTCAGAATTTTTTTAAGGAGTTGTTTGGTGGGCGTGAAAAGTATCCAGAATGGGCTGTTAATGCGTTGAGAAGCGTGAATATTGAGTTGTTGCCATAATAGAAGTAGCAATATTAATATTTAATATTTAATATTATTATTTATTTGGGACAAAAAATTCCTTTCGCAAGTTATAGCTACTATTTCGTTACTAATGCAAATAATAATGGCGATAAAACGGATGATTTTCAATAATGCTGTTACACATAGAATTGATTTAAAATCAAAAGAACATTATTGGATTTTGTATGCATACCTCAAGTATTTTTATTTATCATCTTAGTAAGCTTAAAGAAGTCAAAGTAAAAAAAATTAATGATACAAGTTCAAACTAAAATTAAGTATTATATATCTATAATTAAAAAAGTTATATAATAATTTCTTTAAAATATATAATCTCTTGATTTTTTACAATAAATTTTGAATGTTTGATATTACAATATATATAAAGCAATAAGTAAAGATAAAGCTGTATTTTAAAATTCAAACTCTTAATAATTAAACTTTTTCATATTAAACTATTTCATATAAAACATTTTTATAATCACATAATCATCCAAGATTTTGACATTCTAGTTACTATTTTTTCATTTTTTATAATTGTTCAACTTTCAAGCAGAAATTTAATTGTATTACAATTATTATATTAATCTTTAATAACAGAACCGTCTATAAGACTAAAATATTTCATGTTTTCATGTCCAATATGTGATTGTTGCATTTATTAGGTATAATGGGTCATAACATATTCTATTTTACCTAAAAGAACAAACTCTCAAGGTTCCAAGAGATATTTAATAAATTCGAACGGGAGATCCAAAGACGTAATTATTCATATGCTAAAGGAGTTTTTCTTTCCCAAACAATTTATGTCATGCATTATAAATATTATCGTAAATTGCGTATAAACTAGGATTATCTTTAGCATTAACGTCATAAAAAATTAATTTGATGACTAGTTAGAATGCTGATTAAAATCAAGCCTCCATCCATTTAAAACCACCAATTAGAGCATACGGTTTTGGTAGACGCCCAGGACAAGGTGACAAAATAGTCATCTTGTGTTTGACATTATCAATTTCTGAACTATGTAAAATAAAGCAAGAAAAAAATGAGATAAATGATGACAATCCTAATATTAATGATCATTATAATAGACACATACACATAAAGAAATCCAGAAACATTCGCTTCCAATAAAGCAGGTTCCTCAGGACTATCAGTCGTAATTAACGCGAGAATCGAATGACGCAACGTCTCGTCTGGTTCAACTCTAACAAGTTGTGTTTCGCTGACTTTTCTGTCTATGCCTATAGGCAGTGCAGATGAAGGTGCCAAAGATCCTAATAATGTCCACCAAAGATATATTAGAGCATGTATGAGTTTGATACATTAATTGTACTAAAGAAATAAATTTAGAAATATATACCGAACCCAACACGATAAATTGAAAGAGAGTGAAAATCAATAGAGGCATTAAACGGCTGAAGTCCAACTTTTGAGGTTCCATAGAAATATTCTTGAATTTTTCGCATTTGCGATTGTCGACGGAACATTTTGTCTCTATTGACAACCTTTTTTTAATCAAGTAAAATTAGAAATTAATTGCATTTTTTTTAGTTTTTAGAAAATGGTAATACTGTAAATTAACTTACCCCACCGGATTTGGATAATTTCAGTACTTTTATATCCGATTGATCTTTATATAATCTCGCCATATCACTGTATAATCTCTCGTGTCCAAGGACGATTATAATATTTGCTAAAGAAATATCAAGATAAATTCGAAGCATTAAATCAGCATAAAGGATGGAAAGCAAATATAAATTTAATGCTCACCAGAAAACACTTGGATACAATGTTGCAATATTTCGTACCCAACATTATTATCAATTAACCCACTAGTATCAATTATCAATCCCGAGGTTCTCGCTAAAGGATAAAAAATTTTAACAAACCAAGAATTAGAATATAAATCAATAAATTCACAATAGAAATAAAATACCATCTTCATCCTGATCCAATCGAAGATTAACGGTATTTGCCAATCGCGCGGTAAGTATTTTATACAATTTAACATTCTCTCCTGGTTCCGCGTACCCATAATAATATACTATCGGCGTAGTAGAAGATCCTATCGATGGCAAAGTAGTCGCCGAGGATCCGAAACCTTCTTCCACGTCAAGTATTTGATTGATTGGCGTGGCAGTCAGAGCTCCAGGTATTGTAACAGTTCCCTGATTGAATGTGGGTGTGTCATCATCATCATCAATTTTATTTACATCTGATAAATTGAAGTATCAAGATATTTTCTATGGATAAACGAAAACAACGATTACAGAGATTTCGGAAAGAAGGTTGATAATGTAGACTCGCCTCGTTCGTGTCAAGATCTACAAATATTGGTTGTCGGCCTTGTCGTAATGCATAACTGAGTAGAATTTTTGTTAGAGAAGTTTTTCCCACATCCTCTGGTCCTACAATCATTACCTGTCGTCAACAAATACGAAGTAATTGTTAGAAATAATGTTTTCATTAAACTTCAATTCAAATAACTAACCCTTGGACCCGGTCCACCCCTTTCTCTTGCTGCCTCTCTGCATTGCTCCAGCGCTAAATGCATATTAAGATAACTGACCATCGGTGTTTCGTTGGCCAGATACTCGACACTAGATTTTCCTCGTATGTGATAATGATCATAAATTCATTAAGAATAAATATGATGACTGACTTGACTGGATGATATTGATGATTCTTGGAAAAAAGGATATTTCAATCGTGCAACCGTGCCAAGTAAACACGGCTACTTTACGACCACTGAATTCATATTCCGGACCTATGCCAATTTCTGTGCCAAAGATCTCCGCAGTACCTTCAATCAACTAGAAAAGGAATAATCAAATTAGATTAAAATAGCATTCTTCATGATTAAGTTGATCAAGTGACATAATATCTAACAACCAAATGTTTGGATTATTCTCGTTCGTTAACGGGGTTTCCGACAGAGTTTCATTTTTGATTTTGTTGTAAATTAAAATTTTTTAGGTTGATATGTCAAGGGAACAGTGAATGGTTAGATTAATTTAGCATTAGGTTATGTAAGGATGATGATGATGATGATAATGATGATAATGAAACAATAGATTTTCTAAATATATTTAAACAATGAAGTTAAGTTTCATCATGATTGCAAAAGATCATCATCAATGCCATTACATAATAATGTTAAATTAATTAAGCAGGTTTTCAACTTGTCGTTAAAATTAATAATATCTGTCACCACCGAATCACCACCAATACAAACCAAATAAAGTATAATTTCCTAAACTGGAAAAACGAGAAAACTCCTTCTCCAGACACTCACTTTAAGTTTCACTGTCGTTCCAAAGTCAACCTCAAACCGAAATTCATGTTCGGGTTCGAGTTTCCACTCTTTCGGAGATTCGTTTTCTTTTTCCTCCTATTTGGCATAGAATCAATTACTATTTTTAGAGTATTCTCGTGTTTCCAAATTTAATCTTATTAATCATTTCATACCTTTTTACCGGATTTCGTTTGTGCTTTCACAGCGGATTTCATGCTGAAACACGCATTCAAAAGGGATTGATGATGATTGCTTGACAATGGATAATGATTTAGTCGATTTACTTTTTTATTATTGTTATAGTTTCCCAATATATCTCAGATCTTAGTGATCAAAAATTTGATTCGATTTACGATTACACAGAACAAAATAATGTATGTATCGTCGTCGAATTATAAATTACATAGAGTACATGAATATTGCATATATATTATCGTTATTATATTTGTAAATCGTTCACATTCAAGAAACAAAACGTGTTGTCACACTCGACAAATTACTATTGTTGGGAATGAGTGATGACAATATTATGGAAAGTTTGATCATTATTATGTTCTGGTATTGTGAGTTGATTAATTAGCTAACCTAAATAATAATTTTACTAACTAATAGAATACCTAATTTTTGACGCACACGCGAGAGAGAGATACAGTTGTAACCGTAAAAAAGTATTGTTTGTTAACCCAAAAATCAGATCATTAACTCCGCTCACTCTGATTTTTGGTCCGAAGACAATTGTAATTAATCAAAATCAAATTATTGACATGACTTTTTTGCTAGAGAACAATAGATTCCTTCCTGGTGCAAGAGTAAATTTACTAAAAAAAAAATTAGCATATAAACGACTGTTTGCACCCATGTTTCTGATTTTTAATCCAGCAACAACAAATAGCAAAGAAAATAAATCAAATAAAAAAGAATTTCTTTAATAAGATAAATAGCAAAAAAAAAACCCACAAAAACTCTTATATCCAAATAAAACAAAGTAATAATCATTAAAAATGCTCGCATCAAACGTAGATCAATGTGTCCCAGAATTCCAAAGCTTAGTCACGGGAAACAACTACGACCACCTTCAACTAGTCCAGGGGATCCCATTCCCCTACTTTCTCAAAAAACTCCACGAACTTGGTCCCCTGTACCTCGGCGACAAAACGACCGCATACGCCGAACTACACGTCGAAGGAATCGACAAGCCATTTTGGGTGCACAAAGAATACTTGGAGCTCCAGTCATCGTTCTTTTGTGAAATATTCGAGAACGTGTATAATGGAGATGTGGTCACTATCTCAATCCCGTCGCCGGATACATTTGAGGCGATTTTGGAATTCTTGTATGATGGCAATGGCAAGAAATGGTATAAGTCTATTACAAAAGACAATTATTACAGTGTCTGGCAGAATGTCGAGTATCTTGGGTTGAGCCCAGAAGCGCAATCTATATGTCTTGATTTTTATCAGAATGAAATCGAGTGTTCAGATTATTGATCGAGTGGTTTATTTATTCTTTTATCGATTATATTGGTTACATTGTTCGTTATGTTATATTATATTATATTATATTATATTATATTATATATATATATATATTAAATATCTTTTATATATTTAACGTGTAATTATTACTTTTATATTTTTTAGTTAGTATCTGGTATATTTTTTTATTATTTCTAGTCCCAATAATCATTACTCTTATAGTCATTTAATACACTAAGCTTCATATCCTTTCGCATTCCATACACACACTTAAATAATAACCACCATCTCATGTAAATTATTTCATCATCCCACCCATAAAATATACTTCATAATCCATAATCTCTATATACAATACTATAAGCCCAACAAAATTTGTACAAATTTCATCTCATATATTCAATTCACCTAAGCATTACTTACTATTTCCGGATTTTTTCTAGCTAGCTAATTTATTTTTTCTTTTTTTACTTATTATTAGTTAATATCGATATTAATAATTCAATTAATCATGTACATTTGAGATGTGCCATCCAAAAAAATCATCGATTACTTTGATCAAAGTAACAAAATAAAATATCAAAAATATTTTCTTAAAATGATCATCACTGATTTGATTGGCTAAAGTGTGAGTGAGTGGTTCCTAACACTTATAAAGACGATAGGAATCTTGATTTTGAATAGTGGTAAAAAAATGAATTCAACTAAAGTAATCTGTGCATTACATAAGCACGTTCCTTTGATAAAATTCATTGGTCCAAGAAGTAAACTCTCTCACGGTAATGAAATCATCATTAGCTCTCAATCATTATTAAAAGAGGCTTTATCATGTTTTTATATCATAAAATAAAAAGGTGCAACAGCAGTTACATTACACCCAGCTGCGCCAAAAGGGGCCACATTACCTGATACTTCCAAAGTATCAAACCCGTTAACAATTCAACAGCAAGATACTTCTAAAGTAGAAAACCCGTTAACAGGTCAACAAAAGTCACCAAATGTAAAGTCTGCAGTTATCGATTATTCGCTGTTACCCGAAAAGTACAAGCGAAAAGGTCCAACTCCAGATGAAATTGCTGCAATAGAAGTAATTTATTTCTGATTTTTATGTTTACCGTATTTCCTTTATTTTATGCTCAAAAATAATACTTATATACATATATGCTTGAATATAATAATAGCTTGGTGGTGCTGATTATATAATAATAAATTGATCTATCAGTGCAAGGCATTATCATTATTGTATGTGTGAGCGCGTGACAAAAAAACCTAATGAACAAATTCTTCTCATAATAAAGTCACATGTGTTTCCCAGATTTTAATAAGAGTATTGTTATCGTTATAGTTATCCTTTGCAGGGAAAAAAGTCGATGTGATATTTATAACCGATATATATATATACATAACGATTTGATTTGGTCATATATCAATCATGCGAACGTCATTGTTTTCAATTATTAATAAAAAAAAAAACTATATATAACAAGATGAAATTCTCAAAAAAAAGTTATATATCATCATTCTCAATGCCATTAAACACGGAATCCTCAGAAGTAACAAAACCCACGTCAAAACCATCGGTGTCATCTTCGTCATTGAAGCTCAAATCGAAAGAACATTGGGAAGACATTGTAGAAAATGATCGACCACACGAAGGAGATCTTGATAATTCAAACAATTGGTGGGTAATTAATTGATTGAATTGCAACTTTCGTACGAGAAAAAAACTTAAGCCAAAAAATAAAGGTCATGGCATGAACTTGGAAACGAGCAATGCCAAATAGCTAACGCACCAAATAGCAGTCTACCCAACCTCTCATCAGAAGACACAACTCCAAACATAATCAGAACCAACTCGGAAGCTGAACTTGCATTAAAAGAAATGGCAAAAAACAACAACGAAGAAAACACCAATGTTGATAAAAGATCATCGTGTGATAATTTGGAAGGAATTTAATTAAATTTCTTAAATTATTAGCATTAAGCATCAACATTAGGCATGCCAACACTGTATTAGCACATCATGTTTATACTCAATTTATCTAAAAAATTAAAAATCTAATTTTTTAACTTAATATTAAGTTGATTGCCCGGCTGGCGTAATCGGATAACGCACCAGACTTCTATAGCGAAGGCTGATATCTGGGGATTGCGGGTTCGAGTCCCGCGTCGGGTACAAATTACGGGTGCATTTTATTTTGCATACAATGGAAGTGTTTCATAAATGCATACTAGCATTCATGCACAATCCTGGAAGCAAAAAGGAATAACGATAATACATTTTTCCTAAACTAGCTAGTCTCAAAGAACTGAATAACTTGTAATCGTTATATACAAGAATTTAAAAAAATTTACAATCCTGAAAACAAAATAATTGGAGGGTAGAAATTATAATATTTGAGATTTTTATTCTTTTCTCCTTCAAAAATCAAAATACTTTGACCACCTCCATTACCACCAATCAATGTTTGTTGGCCCAAAGATTGGACGGCCTGTGTGACCGATTCTTCGCATAGTACAGTCCACATGCTAAAAAAAAAAGCAAGTCAAACTTGGTGAAAATCGGAGTCAATGAATAAACATATAATTGATTAAAAATAAATAAATACCATTGCAAAGCTTTTGTTCGGGTGTTTCACCAGCTCGCCAGCCTGGTGTATCTGATGTACCACAGTTGGCACATCGTGCCCCTATTCAATATAAAATTAAGTCAGATCAGCTCAAATGAATAATTAGTGTATTTATATTTTACCTGTGGATTGAGCGCGTTGTCTACCAGTGCGCGGGGTACTTGTGTGAGCACCCGCCGCAGTTAAGAGGGGAAGCTCTCTTCCTGTCGCCGATGTTGGAAGAGCAGGGGGTGGGTTGCTGGTCTGCCCGCTGGTACCAAAGCCAAAGACCGTTGGTGCCAGCAACGCCGCACCTCTGTTTGTCGTGAATGATTGTGCTGAGGTCATATGGGCCATCGACTATTTTATACAATGTAAATAAAAGTTTTTAAGGTTTTTCTTCATTTGAGAAGAAACAATATCCAAATCAAAAAAAGATCAACACCTGAACCTGCGAAGTACTTGGTATTATATTGTATTGTTGGGTGGCTTGTATAAGCCGTTCTCTCGCCTCTTCGACTATCATAATAATAATAATAATGAAAAAGATTATTACGATGAGAAAATGCATCAACAACTAAGTAAAATATTTTAAATACTTACCAAGTTGCTCTTCCTTTCCAGCAGCAGCTACTGATGCTCCCTTCCTCAAATTAATGATTTCTTTCAACAAGCTTTTATTCTTTTCTAAAGAGCATTCCAAACTTTCACCGACAATGCTTGCAGCCAAGGCAACATTTCGAGATCCTCGCAAGAAATCCGCCTCTGAGAGAACCTGTTCTGCCGCTTTTCGCAACTCCTCATCCACCTTACGTTGTTTAATGTTCTCAATCTCTTGAGCGACATCGATTTCTCCTTGTGGTGTATTAATTCTAACTTCCCCTTGTATATGATTTTTATATTGCATCAAATTACTGACAGCATTATCGATCGAGAATGCTCCAAGTGAGATATTGTCAAGGCGACAATTAGCATCCTCTTTTATTTCATCATCCATATTTTGTATGAAATTCTGAATACTTGATGTGTACGCGATACCAACATCGCCCAATAGACCTCTCATGTAGTAATTAAAGGTATCCTGCGTGTGATAAACACCAGGTCCGAGAGTTGCATATGGTCCATAATCCAAGAACCCGGCAGGCCGTGTAGGATTAGCACCCGCAAATTGTCCAATAACTGTTAATTCGGGTGGTTCTCCGAAATATGGCGGATTAAGATCAATCTCCTCGAGGATTTCTGGACCTATGAGTAATTAAAAAAAATATACTTATAGGCTTCTTCAATTATTTCAAGAAGAGATGTTAAAAAAAAACTAGTCAGCAATACATACGAGGAATAAGCGAGCCATCTAACTCATATTTTCCCGCACGTTTTCTTTTTCTAGTAGTCTTTTTCGATCCAGATGCAGCTGCTATTATATAGAGAAATTATTAGACAAAATGTTAAACAGATTATAAATATAAACAAAATTTTTTACATTTTCCCTTTCCTCCAAATGCAACCCCAGCCGATGAGGAAATGATTCTACTCTTTTGCGAATTAGCAGGACCAGCTTGTAATTCCTTGATTTTCGCCTCTTCTTTCTCAATATTCAATTTATCTCTCTCAACCGCCTTAATAACAAAGTTGTAAATCCTCTCAGCATTCTTATACCAGCGAGTTCCCTTCGGATTATAAGTCATTGCATTATTCGCCACTAGCAACAAATCGTCCTATTTGGAATAAATTTTAATATAGAGTAAATAGATAAATAAAGTAAATATCAAATTATATACATTATTAACTTTATACCTTGAATTTATCAATCTCCAAGTATTTGTTGTCTTCTATTTTGTGCCTGATAGTAGTAAAGTCCATTGGATTCTTGATAATATCAAGGTAATCAGGGACTGCAGCAGTGTCAACTGGTTCAATAAAGTCTCCGTAGGGATCTTTTCTGTTAAAGATACAGCAAAAAAAAATGGATAAAGAAATTAATTACAATTTCAAAATAGTTATTAATAAACGAAGTGCGTAATTTATCCCCGAAAAGACACTTACTTTTCGCATCCTTCCAGTATTTTTAGCATTACTGCTTTAAATTCATACTTCCGTTTCGGGATGACTGGAGCGCGTTTTTTCGGCGTAGCAATTTTTCTGGTACTCGTGTTTTTTGGTTTTCCAGTTGGAGTAGTCACAGCAAAAGATGAAGACCCTGCGTCGGCTTTTATCTTTAGTTCGGTGGATTTTGATTTTGAAGAAGAAGCAAAACCAACAACTTCTAGAGGAGCATCATTTTTACCACCATTAAATCCAGAAGCTGAGGATACTGAGGATTTGGCAGCTTGACCACGCGTAATAATTGATGGCTCATCGAGTAATTCAGGCGCGATATTTTTCGATGCTTTTTTAGCAGCAGGAGTCTTTTTGGGAGATTTTGATGACATCACAGTTTCTGTCGTCGTCGTCGTCGTTGTCGTTGCTGCGGTTGGCGTCGAGGATTGATCTACGATAGTGGTGGTAGTCAGTTTAGCTGTTCCAGACATCAAAGATGCTTGTCTTCTGGTAATCATTTGAACTATTTCCTCCACGGGTTGTACTGGAACTTCAGGAGCTGATTTCTTTGATCTAGATTTATTTGAGATTTTTTCTTTTTTATGCTCGGAATTTTCTATTGGTTTAACATCTTTACCAATAGTTTTTCCCGGCACATTCGAAATATTGTCCTGTTGATTTTTCTCAAATGTAGGTCTCTTGGTATTGGTCATGTCTTGTTCTTCTCTTCCCATGTCCACTGCTTTACCTTTACCTTTATCTTTCTTTATAATTTGTTCTGAAGCAGCATTGACCTCATCGATCTCTTCTACATCAATCTCGTTGTTTTTATCCTTGTCATTTTTAATGAACGATTTTTCTGGTGCTGCAACAGCTTCTTCATCCCTTCCAAGATCAATAGCCTTCATTTTACCCTTTTCTTGTTTAACAACAGGTTGTTCTTGTACTGAAGAATCTTTCCCCTTCTCGAAATTTATTATTTCCGGCTTTTCTTCCTCCGCTTTTCGCACATCGCTTTCTTTTTTTGTGGTTCGATCTTTCCCCTCCATAATTGATTCTTCATTTACAAATAATGCTTCTCCTTTAATTCCTTTTGTAGCTAATTGTCCATGTTTAACTTTTTTCTTTTTATGTGATTTGCCTTCACCCTCAGAAATTTCCCCTTCACTAGGACCTCCTCCATCATTATCCGCACCGCCTTTTTTATGATGTTTTTTATGGTGATGATGACGTTTTCGTTTATGTTCTTTCGTGGACGGTGTTTCAACCGGCGGTACCGTTGTTGACGACGACGACATCCCAACAGCCGCCGGTGCCGTTGAAGAGGACAACAATGCACCAGTCGAAAATCTTATCTTTAATTTCATGGGTTGTTTATTAAAAGTAGTAGTATTCGGTGGTGTAGGTGGTGATGACGCAATCACATTTTGTGATGCAGCCAAGCTAGCAGTCACAACGTCGACATCCATTGACGTGGCGTCATCATTGTCACCAATTTCAATCTCTGCGTCGTCGGTTTCTCGGGTTGTTGTTACTATGTTAGAAGAAACGTTAGACTCGGCAGATTTTGTTATTATGTTAGAAGAAATATTAGACTCGACAGCTTTTGCCGATGTTGAAGCAGGTGCCTCTTGATTTGTGGGATTGTTACGAATTTTCAGAAATATACGTGCCCGCTTTGGCGGAGGCTCGTCAGTTGTGTTACTAGAGCTAGAATTAATTGATGATGTTGATTGCTGAATGTCACTGTTGTTGCTGTTATTATTATTATTATTATCGTCCGCCGAAATTTCCTTTCTAGCAGACCTTTTCTTGTGTGATTTCTTTTTGTCTGAAGCCATTTTTCCGTGTGATGGAGAATGTAAAAATCAAATTCCTTATACTTTTTCACAATATGATTGGTCAAATCTGCTGGAAAGTGAAAAACGTCATGTGAGTGTGTGTACTGTAAATCTTGGTAGTTAATCTATTCCAGGAAATTACCTACTATTAAAATTAAAAATATGGACGTAGAATCTACAACCACCACAGCAAACCTTTCTCAAAAGTCGTCTTCTGAGAACACAAAAGCATTAGAAGACAATATTGTGAGTTTGACTGAAGACGGGAAAAAAGCGTTTGCTTTACATGACTATGAATTAGCAATTGCAAAGTTTGGTGAAGCCTCTGATTTACTGTAAGTGAAAGAGAATGATGTCACTTGGGAAAGCAATTTGCCTTGATCTTATAAAACAAAAGGCATATTTTTAATAAAGACGCGTATAGTTGGCCAATTTCAACTATTCGCCATTGTCCTTATAAAACCATTTAATTAAAATTATTATCTGTTCCATTTGATAGAGGTAAACAACATGGTGAAGAATCCACTCAATACGCAGATTCCTTAGTTCTATATGGTAGAGCATTACTCGAAAATGCCATAGCCCAAAGCTCTGTATTTGGGAACGACGCATTACCAAAAAATACTGAAGATTCAAATGGTACTTATTCATGTCTAAATCTCAACACCTAGAAACCCTCGTAGCAATTGTCAAATCAAAATAATTATTTCTTGTCCTAAGCAATGCCTCTTGAAGTTCCACTTGAAAAAAAACAAAAATTCCAATTCGAAGGTGAGCCAAATTTCGGCGAAGACGAGATCGATGAAGACGAAGAAATGACAGATGCAGAACCATCAGCGGAAGCAGAAGATCATTCGGATGACTTGAGCGTCGCATGGGAGTCTCTTGATGCCGCAAGAGTTATCTACTCAAAAACTGATGTAGAGGAAGCGAAGACTAAGTTGGGAGATGTGTATATTGCGTTGGGTGATATTTCACTTGAAAATGGCGAGTGTTTCTATTTAACAGATTGCATAATTACATCTTTTTGGCTATTTAAAAATTCTAACAATTCTGATTTTATGAAATTTAGAAACGTTCGATCAGGCAGTGAATGATTACAGAGAGGCATTGAATATCAAATTAAAGATATGTTCTGAAGAAGATCGTCAGCTTGCCGAGGCATATCCTTTCTTTTTTTAACGATTATTACTTATTACATATTTGATATATTGAAATCTTAATCAAATATCAAACACTCATTACAAATTAGCTCTTGCTTTAGAACTTAGCACATCTGAGCAAGACCTTGCCGTGGACCACGTTCAAAAAGCAATTGAAGTGTTGGAGAAGCGAAAAGTTTTCTTGAGCACACAATTAAATGGTATTAAGGATCAACAACAACAGCAAGATTCTGGCAAAGGAAAAGGTATAGCAACAGATCAAACTGGTCGGGATGATGATAACACTACAAAAGTTATCAAAAAAGAGTTGAATGAGATCGAGGATTTCTTAGTGGAGATGAATGCAAAGGTTTCTTTTATTTTTAAATAGTTTGTAATTAATATTATGAACTTTAATTTTAATTTTTACTTTTGTAAAATTCCTATTTTTCAGGCCGAAGATATGAGAATTGCAAAAATTATTAGAGAACAAGTGTCAAGCCATGATCAGCTTTTCAACGATCTGTTAAAATCAGCTGTGAATCAAGAGACGACGACGTCAACATCATCATCATCAACAGAAACAAGCCCTTCAAAATCTAAATCTGTCAACGATTTGACTTCATTAATTAAACGCAAACAGCAGCAGCAATGACTGTGATATAAATATGAGTATTGATAAATCCAGTGTCTCTTTTTCTCGAAAAAAAAAAACAAAATCTATCATAATTCGATTAATTCAGTTCATTTACTCGAGAATAGTGTTTGGTCAATCAATTAATAATAAGAAACAGACAAACAAACATCTTGTTTGTTTAGCCATTTTTTAAATAAAAATTCAACCATGAAATTGTGAAGAAATTACACTTGTACGCAGTTTATCATGAATCAGTTACATATAGCATTCGCTTTTTTTTTTACTTTCCAGATGTGGAATTTAATGATTTTCAAATATTAGACTAATATTTCAAGGGGATCAATTTACTTTTCACTTCAAAATACCTGAAATTTGATTTAATTTACACAAATATATAGATAATATTAATCATTTGCATATTATAATATGAATAAATATATTTATAATAATTGCTATTTATAATAATTGTTATTTGTAATAATCACATTTTAATTGGTTAATTAGAATCTAAATTAGAGTTGGAGTTAAGATTTTGGATATGTAATTGATTAATATTGAAGTTATTATATGTAAAGCTCGAGTCAGGTCGGATTTGAGTTCAATCTGAACCAATAATTTCGAATCAGATCAAATTCAGATCAGGTTTGATCTGAAAATTATAAATTAATTTTTCATTAATAACTTTTATTTTACTAAAACACTTGTATTTCGTGTTGAAAGAGTTGTTTGGAATATAATTGTATATATGTTCACAAATTTTCGTTTAATTCCAATTAATATTGAACGAAAATAACGTTTTTTAGACTAATTCGAATTATTTCAGATCAAATTTGATCCTGATCCTGATCCGATTCAACTCGAAATGTGCATTTCGAGTCGAGTCACGAGTTGGATCCGATCTGATTGGAGCACTAATTATATATAAAGAAAATAACATATATCAGAGGAAGAAGAAAAATCTCAAAAATCTCATCTTACACGTAATCAAAAATTAAAATATTATTATCATTTTGATTGATTTTTGAAATACTGTTACCATTTTACCTTTCATCAACTATATCTCATTATATTTTAGCACAATAATATTTATTTAAACTTTTTCTTTTATTTTTACTTTTCTATATTTCTTACATTTTTATCCAATAGCAATAATTTATATTTTTTATTCAATTATTTTACATTATTATCGCATCATTTTAGTTTAGATTTCATCATCATTTAATTTATCAATCAATTCATACTATTATTACATCATTTTATATTTTAAATTTTATTGGTACTTTATTTTTGTCTCTTGTTATATTAATTTAATTAGCGACACATAGATTTTACACAAACCCCTTTTTAATATTACACAATAGTTATCGTGTT